AATTATTAATTATTTTTAATAATTAAATCAAATTAAATTAAATGATATTAACAAAATAATAAGTGATTAGAATCACTTCCGAAGCACTCTTACGAGCATATATGTGTATGTTTGACACGGTTTTAAAAAGGTGTTCTTTGTTATCAAAGCTGAAGAGTTGGGGTAAATGCATTGGTGAATGTTGTTTTCTGTAGTGGTGCATGAAATATTGTAAGGACTTCAGCAAACGAAATATAGACTAAATCAAACCATGTAACTCATGGAATAAGGCCTACAACAGAAAATATTAGGATGCTTAACACCAAGCAAAACGCACCCTTGCCAATCCTAGATTTTTGTTTCGATGAATATGAAATTCTCGAGAAATTGGATGATGGAGATGAAGCAGAACCAGGCTGAATGTAAATAAGTGGAAGCTGTGATGTTCTGGAGTCCAAGTGTTCGCTGAAATTTCCCAATGAAGTTCCCACTCCTTAATCTCTGAATCATCAACAACCTTGCCATCTTACCAATTCCCAGCAATGGCATTGCCGGCAGCAATCCAGAGATCCGCAACCCCCAGCACTGCCTTCTCTCCCTTCCCACTTCAACGCCTCTCCACCTTCAAAAACCCCTCTTCATCTCCTTCTCCATCGTCTACCACCACCACCTCCTCATCCCTCTTCGACTCCTTTGCCTGTGACCCCATCCTTTCCCCCTTTTTGTCCACTTCCTTCTCCTCCACCTCTTTCTCCGCTGCTGCGCTCTCCTCTGGTTCCCCTGCCTCCACTGCCGAACATCTTCTCCAAGCCATCCACCTCCTTGATTCCCAGCTCCGCTCTCATGTTCTCTCCCACCATCCCCTCCTTCTCGGCCAGTTGTCTTCTCTCAAGAACGCTGAGCTGTCACTCTCTACCCTCCGCTCCTCCGTTTCATCGCTGCCGTCTTCTCTTCATCGCATCCGATCCGAGCTCTCCGATCCCCACAAAGCCGTCCTCTCTAAGACTGTGCAGCTCTCCAATCTCCACCGCACCTCCGAGCTCCTCTCTCATTCCATCCGCTCCATCCGCCTTTCCAAGAAACTCCGCGAACTCACGTCTTCTGCCGAGGCTGAACCTGAGAAGCTGGATCTCACTAAGGCTGCCCAGCTGCATAGTGAGATCTTGAGCTTGTGTGATGAATATGATCTTGCGGGCATTGATGTTGTTGACGAGGAACTTAATGCGGTGAAAGAGATAGGGAGTAGGTGACGAAGCGAGGCAATGGGTGTCCTGGAGAGGGGAATGGAGGGGCTGAATCAGGCTGAGGTTGGTACTGGGTTGCAGGTCTTTTACAATCTTGGGGAGTTGAGAGAGACTGTGGAGCAGCTGATGAATAAGTATAAGGGAATGGGTGTGGAGCGTCAGTGCGGCGTTGGATATGAAGGCAATTTCAGGAGGGGATGCGGGATTTGGGCCTGGAGGGATACGGGGGAGCGGAACGCCTCAGATTGGTGGAGGTTGGAAGGCAAAGGAAGCCTTGTGGCAGAGAATTGGAAGTTGTATGGATCACTTGCATTCCATTATGGTTGCTGTTTGGCACTTGCAGAGGGTTCTGTCCAAGAAGAGGGATCCATTTACGCATGTCTTGCTGCTTGATGAGGTCATCAAGGTAAAATTTTTGAATCTTTAGATAGTTAAATACGTTATTGTGCTGTACATTAGATTAGAGATTGCGTAGCTTAGTTCATTTGAGTTCATGTTTTCTGTAGATCAATGTTGGTTATTTGAAAGAAAGGCTACTCTTTTCTTGCTATTTTTTAGTTTTTTTGGTTAAAACTGATCCCATACAATATCTTCATTATATTTATGTGAATGAATTCTGTGCTTTGTCTCTGAATGATAAGAGGATACTGTACATGCTTTAAATTGCAGTTTCATTTTGACACAAACCATGCTCTTCCATTATATTGTTACTTACTGCATGACTTTATCCTGCCATTTTACTCCCTCTCCGCTTTTTTTTCCTTACATATCTATTACTTGTTCAAGAGGGTGATCCCATGTTAACTGATCGAGTTTGGGAGGCA